TGTGAATTTTGAGATTATGTTATTCATTATTATGCTTAGAATTTTATTTAGTTGGTTGTCGTCTATTCTCTATGGATACAAATGGTAAATGAACCGCGGACGCAATAAGAAAAGGACATTAGTTTAACAGAGGGGATAATTCATTTTGTTGCGTGTTACGTGATCAAAAGTTGGCGTCGCGACTGTTGTTGGCCGTAGCTCACTTGACAACATTTTTACGATAAACTATTATTAAAAAAACATATGGTTTTGCGTTCTATCATCATAATTATTATTACTATTATTTAGAGATCGCAAAAAAAAAGAAAAAAAGAAAGTGTGTCTATTATAAAGTTACAATTCTATGTATTGTTTTGAAAAGAATCATCTAACGGGTGCAAAGAAAAGCCAATCCGAAGTCTATTGTTAGAATAATATCATTAATGTTTTGTATATGTCTGAATGGTGAAAATGCTTATTCGTTCTTAAAGTATTTATAATAAGTTAATTTTTCATACTGTATTCTTAAAAGAATTTTTCTAAATCTACATAGATGTACAAGGAAAGAAACCTAAGGAAAAAAAGAAATTTTTTTTTTCTTTTTCTTTCAATATATATATGTATATATATATACTTTTTTTTTTTTTAAAAAAAAAAAAAAAAACTCAAAATAAATCCACGATTCGTACATTCTTTCTCACTTTCTCCATTCCGACCTTTGAAAATTTGTTTTCTCGATCTTTGCCCACCACACAACTGTTGCTACCGCTTTTGCGGTGGGAGAGATGGAAATGGTTATTTGATTCGTCCGATGGAATCACACCTCTTCGGCATCTTAATTCCAATCTGCACTCTCTCACTTCGGAATAGCCGCTCAATATTTCCAGATATTCGTCACAAGTCATGTTCTTATTCAACATCCCGACCACACTTAACCGATCGCTTCCGCATTGTTCAAAGAACAACTTGAAATTTTTCGTGTTCATGAAAAAATCAAAGGTAAATTGTTTCAAGGACTTTGGTAAGGATTGGGAGAGATTGTGGATGTTCGTGTAAGGCGGAGATGAAAAATATTGGCACAAATACGAATTTCCGTTGAAATGGTAATTGTGCGGCTGGAGAGTGCCGTCATCATCGGGTGGGTTCGGACGACTCGTGGTGGACAAAGAAGCCGGAGAGGAATCGTGGCGACGGGTGAGTCGATTTGAATTAAAATTACGAAAATTGGAGCTATAATATAAATAATTAGAATTAAAATTATGGGTGCAATTATTATGGAAATGTTGTGTTAATATGGTGAGATTAATTAGGTTCTTTGATGTTGATAGCAGATTAAGCAATGAATTTTGGAATGAGGTGGAAGGTGATAATAATAATGTCAACTGGGTTAGATTGGGGCAGAGCGCGGAGAGCGCGTGATAAATCTCGGCGGAATTTGAGCAAGAGATATCTTGGAGAAGCGTGAATGAGATCAGGGAGTGATTGGCCAGTTGCAGAAGCGTCATTATGGCCGAAAAAGTGAAACGTGAATTTGAGGGAGTGTTGGAAAGGATAACAAGATTCTTCAGGGAGATTTGAGGAACGGGTGGCTGCGAACTTGAGGCGGGATAGAAAAAATCATAAGTCAGGGAAACATTGGAAGCGTTTGATTGTGGCGGGAACATGTCGCAAAGTTCCAAGGTCTCCAGGTTCTTGCAAATAGACAGAATTTCCAACAGGAATTCAAAATTTGACAAGGATAATTCCATGATCTTCAGATATCTCAGGCTTCTCGACACCTGACTTGTCCTAAACGTTTCTATTATCATTTCCGGCAAAGAAATCTCTTCCAACATAGAATCTTCTTCGTCGTCCGATATGGAACTGGCCGTCTCACTGCTGTCGTCGTCAAAGAAGAAATCGTTCATCTCCAAGACTCTCAATTTCTGTTGCGCCTTGATCACCTCGCAAAACGCCTGACCATACTCCAGAAGGTTGGCGGCTCTGGTCTCATTGTGAATTTGTAATTTGAGGTGATCAAGTTTGTGAGTGTGATTAGATATGGTGATTAGATTATTTATGATCCTTTGGGTGTTCGATAAATCGGAGGGAGGTGAGATGGGGTTGGAGTAATGGACGAGGGTAAATTTTTGAAGTTTGGACAAAGATGTGGAATCAGTGCTATCGAGGAATTTCAAGTCGATCAAGGGAGGGTACAAGGAGTTACGATAGAAGCTGGGGTTGTAAATAATGTTTATGTCACGAAACCCGCTGCTCTTGTCGAACAGGGTGCCGATGATTATTTTCAAGATTTCCACTCGCTTCTCGAGCACCGACGTACGGCAGTCCTCGGAGAGCTCCTCTTTTCCATCACGACTGACCACGGCTTCTATCCATCGGGTGACCGACCACAGAATCTTATCGTAGTCCAGCACCTTCATAAATGTCGGATAATCAAATCTCGTCTTGTTCACCCCGGTCAAATCAACTCCCAACACATCTCCTAACGTCCTCCTCTCATCATCATCAAGATTAGAAACAATTTGTCTTATGATCGAAACTCCGCCATTCCTATTTAGCCACCTGTTCCTTGAGATCTCGTTCCTTCTACCCGTTAATCTATTGTTCACAGAATTGAAAGGGTTACACCATAAATAGGGAACGGTCAGTACACACCAAAGCCTATTTAATAAGATGCAAGTGTGAAGCGATGGGATGTCGTTTTTAAGATATTGTAGGATTTCCTCGATGACGTCTGGGGGGATGTATAGGTTGGAGGGTGAGGAGGAAGATGGTGAGTGCATTCTTGGATTTCAAGTTCGAGGAAACTGTTTGGAGGGATGGTATCGGTGTGTGTGTCGGTATGGGTATCAGTTGTGCCGGGTAGTGCAACAAGTTTAGAGAGAGAACCGACGTTTTATCCGGAATACCAGGAATCGGGCAGATAGGAAAACTGATCAATCGAAAGACGAAAAAAAAAGAAAAAGAAAAGAAAAGAATTAAAAAATTTAACAGGGTAGAGATGCTTATATACTTATAAAACCGAACAATAAGGTGTAAACTATGTTTCACGATCCGTCACTAAACTGTAAACCATGCAGATCAACAAAGTATAAATTGAACATAAAAATGCAAAAGTAACAATTACTACATTACTCTGTACCTATAATATAAATTTTTTTACATATATAGGCAGGACCCAGTCACACGAAATTAATTAATGTCGGCAGCCGAATGGCCATAGATGTTTTTCATAAGTTTTCCATAAAAGTATTAAAAACCTTTAGTTTTTCTGGAATATAAGGAGCTCCGTATTTACATGCGTGCCATGACGTGATGTTGACCGTAAAGAGGACAGAAGAAGGTCAAAAAAGAGAAGAAGGGAAGGGAAGAGAAGGGAAGGGAAGAGAAGGGAAGGGAAGAGAAGAGAAAGAAGAAAGAGAGAAAAAGCCTCCTACTTCACCACCTTTGTTTCGGACAACACATTTGATTTCTTTTTTGCCCGTAGGGCACGCACCAAATCGAGACGCATCAATGTGGAAATCATGACCATAATAATAAATTTCTAAATTCAGTTTTTCGGAGACTAGGGGATTGGTGTTCTTTTTATTTAATCGAAAAACGAATTCGACCTATTGAGAATCTGTTTGTTTACCCATGCTTTGTGTATCAATGAGGAAGCGAAAATGCTGGACAAAAATAGATCATAGATGAGATTCGCTGTCCAAATTTAGGGATTCCAAGGTGAACTTACAGAGCAAAGGGTGAATCACGCCGCCAATATGTGGCCACCGGCGAACTTCCTTCCTCTCGTCTCATAAAAACAATGCGAAAAGTGTGAACAGTGCGAACAATGGATGCTAAGTCGAAAAAAAAAAAAACAAAAAAAAAAAAAAAACATATTTTATAACTATTGTTACTAATACTTTATTTTTGCTCCGACGTAACTGCTGCACAACTGTCGGTAATTAAATTTTCGAGGTGCAAGGTGTGAATCCCGGGAAATATTTTCAGTGCGGAATAATGTGATGAGGTGAGAAAAGGTTTGTTGAGCAAATTAATTAATGCATTAAAATTTGGTATTCCTGCAACGTTTGATATGCAGGGTGCATCACAAAAGAAATCTTCTGGAAAAAGGAAGAAGGTCAGTAAGATGGTATTGGTACGGCACCCGAATTTTGTGCAATACGTACAGTACATGGGTGTTCCGAGAATGCATTATTCACGCTCGTGCGAGTTTCAAGAAAACACTTTTTGTTAAAAAAATTATCATGCGCACTTGTTCCAACAATAGAAAGAAGAACGCAAACAATCCGGTGAAGGAAAGGAGCATGATCATTATCACGAATGTAAACCTTAACATTTCGTTTTGCAGTTCGGCGAGACCTGGCATGGTTTGCTTGTGCGCGAATATGATGAGCTTTTTTTTAAACCTCAGTGATGCGCCGTTGACGCTAGATTTATTTCATTATGATGACGTATGACTTTCTAGAATTACCTTTTACGAATGACAAAAAAACAACTAATGATCTCGACGGAAATAATCGGAAGCATGTCAAATTTAATTTGAAAGTAAAGAACGGATCATATCTTTTTTACATTTCCAATCAATCGACTCTTTGTACGTTGCACTTTCGAGAGTATCCTATCACCGAAATCTCATTGGTATAAAGCGTTCAATTTTCTTTTGCTTCTGAGACCCAACCCACAGCCAAGACTCCATTCACTTGTATCGACATTCATAGTACCACGTTTCTACCAACGAACCATTTACTGTATTTGTTTGTTCCCAAAACCAAGTACAAGTCTAAGATGATCATCTGATGCAGGATGGTATTAGCCAGGTGATCGGATTCCAATTATGCAACCGATATATACAGAAAAACTTCAAGGAAAAGGTGGATTTTGATTTACGCCGTGTAAAAATAACAGTAGTCGACGAGGAAGATCGGAAAATTGCTAAATGAGAAGGAAGGAGGGGTTGGGAAGGCGGTTCCTCAATTGGAAACTCACGACCATCTCCAATATGTATCCCATTGTCATGTGCATCGTGCAGATTGGAATAAATAAGATGGTCATTCTAAAAAAAGAAGAAATTCCCTTTCCCGGAAGCGGCTGAGAAGGATGATCTTTGATCTTGGTTCAGTTTCAATCTACGGCATAACAGTCTTCCTCTTATCTTCCTTCATCTCCTATGTCTCGTACCTCGTACTCCACTACTATTACATCTACTTTACCCGTCCCAATCCACTCCCAGGTCCATTCCCTCTTCCTTTGGTCGGCTGTCTCTTTCTAGACGGGTTTGATTTTTACAAGTATTCCACCAAACTGCACGAGAAATATGGTGACATTTTTGAGGCCTGGTATGGAGACATAAGAATTATCTGTTTATCCAGTGTGAAGTTCATCGAGCCCATGACCACACAATCCTTCAAGAAAAGTAACTACAAGGTTAGATTTCCGCCGGTTGAGGGAATCGAGGAATTAGGCATCTCTGGAAAGGGTATCATTGTAAACGATGACATCAAGAGTTGGAAATTTAACAGAAGCATATTTTTGCAAACTCTTACAATACCAAAGTTTTTAAGGCAAGTGGTGGAACTGACGAAACTTCACTTTCAAGAGATGGAAAAGTACTGGGAGTTCTTCGATAGAGGGCAAGATGGAGGCGAGGAGATTCAACTAGTCGAGTGGATTCATAGACTAAACACTGATTTCATTTTCCATATTACAACCGGGAAAAGATATTACGCCTTGGCATCTTATCATTCTTCCCTCCTCTCCTCCGCCAAGATTGTTTCCGAAAAATCACCGGAAGATCAGCCACACTTGTCAGATATAACGCCTGAGATCATAAAGGAATCGGAAATCTTACTTTCCTGCATAAATTCTTACTTGATTAGCCTAAATTTCTTCGGCCTTTACCCAAGATTCTTGCGCGCCACATTGCAGAGGAAACGACGTGATGAATTGCTGAAAAAGAAAGAATGGTTATTCGGGAAATTGACGGAGATCGTTAGAGAAAGGAGAAAGGAGATCGATGAGATCCCAGCCGATGAGGAATTAAATTATGACATGCTAACCACAATGATCACGGCGAATACGGAAAGGGACGTTTATGTGATAAAAAAGAATATGGAAAAAAAATTGGAAGGTGATGAAAGACCTTTAAGTGATGAGGAGATTGTCGTCAACATGACGGAAGCTTTTGTCGGTGGGATCGAGACGGTAAGATGGGAATGCCCTTCTTTCTCTTTACTGACGAGTTTACTCACATCGTGACCTTAGACCGCGAATACAATCTGTTTCGTCATGTATTACCTATCGCACTACCCCGAAGTACGAAAACGTCTACTCGAAGAACTTGATACGGTCTTTAACGCAAAAACTTCGGATTCCTCCTTAACCAACGAAGACATTTCGAAACTCGTTTACTGTGAAGCCATCATCAAGGAGACGGCAAGGTTTGATCCCGTGGTACCATTCTTCGACAGGCAAAGCACGGATACTGACGTTGTGGCAGATTACTCTTGGGGACCGAAAACTCAATTCTCAGTATCAATCGGTAGAATACACAAGAAACCGAAATATTGGGAAAATCCGGATCAATTTAATCCCGATAGGTTTTTGCAACAAAACATGAAAGTGGAAGATAAGAATACCTTCTTGCAATTTGGAACGGGTTTAAGATATTGCCCTGGACACAAGGTTGCCATGACAGAAATTAAATGCTTGATAGCGTTGTTGTATAGGAAATATGACATTGAATTGGTGGACATGAATGCACCTTTGGATACTTCGTACAACACCATACAAAGATGTTCGAGTTTGAAAATCAGGGTCAGGCGTAGAAACGTATGAATCGATTGACCAAACCTTTTTGTGAAGAATTGTTTCTGATTCATTTTTCTTTTTCTTTTCTCTTCTTCTTCTTTTTTTTTTTGCGTAGCTTCGCCTTTGATTCGTAACATGGATGTCAAAATCCTTGATAAACATTCGTTATAAAAATCGGTTGGATTTTTTCTCAAGCGATCGCTTTATTATACATGTCGTGTATTCTATCGTATTACAACATCTGTTCCATTGGTCATATTTACTGCATATACGGTGTGCTAAATTAATCGTCTCGGCAAACGGCGAGCCATCAAACACATGGCATGAAGCGCGAAATGGTCTGACCACTGCTTCCAATCAATCGGTACACATGCATATACTGTACATATTTTTATCTACGATTTATTTAGCACCCTCACGCGTCTAGATGCGCACGGTATAAATAAAATTTTTCTAAATTTAGTAATTTAAATATACAGTTAAACCTCTAATTTTGGATTATATTAGTTTACGGAGGCTCAACTGTACTAATAACAATACGGTATACGTAACAATTGCAGTACAATCACGTGATCTTTATGCGCATCTTCGCATGACATAATCGTTGCGATTTTTTTCTTCACGATCATAGAATTGTATCAATTTAGCTACTGTTGGCTTAACTATATTACAAAGAAGGCATCGTAGAATATAACGTGAAAAAATTGTTGCGACTGATTATAATCATGATCGTTCACCGCCAAGTCAACATAATGGCGACAAAGTTTCGCAATTTTGCAGAGTTTCCGTAAATCGAACTTTGTGACTTACTTTAATTCTATTGTTTCACTGATGGCATATGCAGGTGAGTCTGTTTTTAGCGCAGTTTTGAGTCACTGGCGTGAAATAGTCATCTACGCTTTTATCCATCCTCGACAAACAATAATTGATAATACTTTAATATGCAGCTTATTATTTGTTTATTTATTTAGAACATGTCAATTTATTATTTATCATAAATAAATATAATAAGCATCAAATAAGTACGTAAGCTGGTCATGGAACCAATGATTTTTTATATATAATTTAAGCTATAAAGTTTGTTAATGATGATATTTGCAACTAGAAGTTTGTTAAATAATCTAGATAATTTAGTCTCATCCAAATGTATTACGTGATAAATGGGCACGAATATTTTTATTATGCATACGTGCGGGAAATGTAACCCCCTGCTCTTACGCATCTTTTTACTCTTCTTTTTATATGCGCTGATATTTTGCATACTTCCAATAGCCTTTGTTCCAATTGATAAATACGGGAAGAAGGAGACTTTTAACAGGTTTGGGCATAGAATCATAGACCATGAACTGTCTATCCTCTGGTTCTAGGTGCAGAAGTAAAAATGGAAGAATCGTGGTTGCACCACCTTCCTTCTTAATTGAGTCGTTTATATCATTTGTAATTTTTTCCAGTTCTTCCTTGGTCATGTTTTCTCTCAGGGCTTCTACCGAAAAAGAAGTTTCTTCATGTTTTAAGTGTGGGCGAACGAGATCGTTCAATTGAGTCATGAGCTCAACAATTTTCGCAGATTCGTAGGACACTTTCTTCTCGGAAACCTTTTTCGTATAATCAGACAAGCTGTGTACTAATTTATCGAGTTTTTTGTGATCCTCTATGAACTCGTTTACGGATATTTTCTGAGTGACCGCTGGAAAGATTATGTGCTCTTCGTGGCCGTGGTGAGACATGAGATGACTGATGAAAGCATTAATATAGCCAATAAAATTGCGGACATCGGTCTTGCAAACATTTGGCGCATTCTAAAGAATAACAAATTCGTTGAAACTCGATGAATTGTTGTTCTAAACCAGAATTTTTATCTTTTCCTCACTTACGTTCAGAATTTGGTCCATTCCTGACCGAAGTGTCTCATGAAGTAGAAAAATTCCTCGATAGAAATTCACATAAACATCTGCTGAATTTTCTTGCGACATGGTGATAGTAATTCGAACTTTACAATTTGATGATAACAGACAGATGCGACCTTTATAGCTTTGTTAGAACGCGTAGGCGTGTTCGTATTTTCGATTGATTGGCTATGATCTGCTGAATTAGGAAACAGGTTATCATAATGGGCATACTTTTATAACCATCACTATATCCAAAAATAGTGATCGATAAAATTGTAATCCTGCTATTTTAGAATATCATACACTGTATTGGCGTCGTAGATGAATGATACGAAACCATCAACAAGATTACCGCATGCTAAGCTCTAAATACAAACAATAGACGTTGAGATGGTTTTTAACTTTCAATATATACATTTATACTGCAATATAATTTACCATTTCTTAACTGTTATTGCATTCTCATTTCTCTTCTTTTTGAGCATATACAGTATTATTTGGTTTACTAAATGCCTTGAATAATTTCATACAGTTGAATAATGGCTCGTTAAAAAATGAAAATGCAAGCAATCCAATAATAATAAAATTACGATCCATTTTTTTTTCGATAGCAAATTTATAACCTAACATTATATGTAAAATACAGTACATTAAACATGTTATTTACTTATTTATTTATTTTAAGAAAAAGAAAATTCATTTAAAACTTGTTAAATTTATTGTGCAACATTAAACAATATAGTTAAAATATAAAAATATACATATTATATTAAAAAAATATCATAGATTATTATTTAAGATATATTATTCTGATTTTTTTCAATATATCAAGATATTTTAAATAAGTTGGGTTTGAAAAACAATAAAATAAATCAATCTTTTTTTGAAAAAGAAATCCTATCAATTTTTGATACAATAATATAAAGAAAAATTGCTTAAAGAAAATCAAATTTTCTATGCTATTTAATATTACAAGTTAATTGATAATTATTTAATAAAATTAAAATCTCAAAAATAATATATTGTGCAATATAATTAAAAATTTTTTTTTAAATCCTTAATCAGGTTAGATATGTGTACTTTATTAAACTTTTGCATACTTTACATTATTAAATATTTCACTAAAACTAAATCTCTACCTAATTCACTTATCTCTATTTTAAATTTCTTAAAACTCTAAATGCAACCTTGAAAGTAATTTATCACTTTATTAGTAGTTCAAAGAAAAACCTTTTCAATTACTAACTTCATTGCTTGCAAGTTACTGCCACAGATCACTTTTTGATACTCTGATTGGGCTTATAATTTCAATTACTTTATTCTATATCCCATTCTTTTTATAAGAATCTTTTTAAGACTTTTATCTTCTAGTTTTTCTTTTTCTGATAATTTTGTTAAAAATATAGTTTTTTGACCTGAAAAGATTGGAGATCTTTTTATTATATCTTTTTTGCTAATTTCTTGAGATTGTTTTTATTCTATAATCTTTTTGTATCTTGTGTTTCAAATTCTTTTTTGAACTTGATTATAAACTCTTTTTTACATCTTTATTATCCATTTTCTAGCTTATTTTCTTATATATTTACCATGACATTTTAGATCTACCATTTTTAGAATAAGTTCCTTTCTTATGAAACTAGTACAAAAACTTGAAGTATCTTAACTAGTTATAGAGATCTGTTTCATTAATTTAGAAATCAACTTGTTAAACTCTCTTAGTTCTTTTTTATTATTGATATTCAATCTATTGCTTTTTTTTTCAATATCTTTTTTTTTTTGTAGATGCTTTTTAAAGCTTCTAAGAGTTCTACCTATTTCTTTATTCTATACTTTTTGAGGTTGATTCTTATAGACTAGACATTCTAACAAGTATTCTATTGTTTCTTCCTGTTAACTATATATAATACACTTTTACTTACTTATATAGATTAGATCTTTTTGTAGTCAATTTATATAATATTAATAGTTTATTATTGATTAATTTGATAAGAAAGCTTTTTTATTGAAATTTTTTAAAAAATATATCTCATGTATAACCATCTTTTATTCTTTTTTACACTAAATCTCACATATGGACTTTTTATTTTAAAAATTTATAATCTATTTTTTCTTTATTTGATTTTATTAAGTTTATTGATAAATATTATTTTATTATTCATATTTTTGATAAACTACCTAATTGGATCATCTAAGATCTTATTTTGTCATCTAATTTCTATAATGATCTTATAAAAGTTAAGATCTTTTTATTTGATTAATGGAAGTTTTAAGGCTTATTTAACTAAGAAATCTACTTCTTTATTATAAGAATTATTGAAGTATGCATTAACTTTGGCAAACTTTAGGTTTACTGTTTTTTTCTTTATTAGCTCCACCATTTATATTCATAAAAATTAATTTTTTCCTTTAGCTATCTCTTATATATTCTTTTCATATTCTTTTTTTTATTATTTTTCATTTAATAATGCAAGCCTGGTTATTTATACAAATCTCAACAATACTATTAATAGGAACTACTATAAGTATATTTAAGATTACTATTAATTCAACTTTTGTAGAAGAAGACTAATTATCTACTCTTATTTGAAATTTGTTTTCTCTTCCAGTATTTCTTATCTAGATTTATATAACTTTCATTTTTATTTCTTTGCCATGATTAATAAATAATCCATTGGAATAAAAAATTAACTTTTTTTTTAATTCTAAATTGCATTGAAGTATTTCTATTAACTTATCTAAATATACATCTTTTTCAATATTTTTTCTGATTATCGTTTCTTCCCAAGTTTTCATATTCATATAATCTATTTTGTTATTTTAAAAAAAGTCTTGAAAAGATACTAATATTTATAATTCTTTTTATAATCATATTTTCAAGTATAGCTTTGGGATTTGAAATTTTCAAATTTTCAATTTTCCTAGTAAATATTAGTTTATTAAGATAAGATATGTATAAATTTCTTCTTTTTTCTTTTTATGATACAGCTATTATTTTATATTATTCCTTTAGAGTATCCAGGTATTTTTGCAATTTTGTCTCCTAATTATCATTAATATTATAACAAATAAAGTATTTAATTATTGCTTTTTTGCTTGTTTTAATTTTTTTCAAATTAACTGATCATTTTTGTTATTCCATACTACTTACAACACTAGTTGAAAAATATTTATTCAGCAAAATATCACTTGTATAATATTTATCAAAAAATAAATAATTTGATATATTAATGACATAAATAAATCAGCAATCAATTTTTACCATATAATTTGGCATATAATTTGACATAAATAAATCAGCAATCAATTTATACTATATAATTCAATATTATTTGTCATATTTGTACCATTTTTACTATATATTTTATTAAAATTTTCCTCAAAAAATCATTAAACATTTGTTAAAATTACAATTTTATAAAATTTACACATCTACTGAATTTTAATTATATATTATATTTACAATTTAAAGAAATTACAGCTAAATATTTGTGAGAGTCTTACCAATTTGAGATTTTATATCTAAATAAAATAAATCATTCAAAAATATTATAAATAGAAATTATGTATTCACATCTAATTAGGTAAAATTCAATACTTTACAATTCAACATTCATATCATTTTCAAATCTAAAATAAAATCTATTTTTTGTCAAATTAACTAGCTTATATCACTGAATAAAGGTCAATCAATGTTTAATAACATTATTTGGAAAGTTTACCAAATGTATAAAGAAGAATTGAACTTGTCTCAAATATAAATCAACATTTCTATTATGATTTACGAATCTAGTTAATATAAATGAGCCCTTAATATTTTATGAAAACTTAATAAAATTGAATATTTCACTCTCAATTTGATATCTATCATATTGATTTGCTCTATTCTGAATAATTATTAAATTTTTATTATTTTTCATAAATAGCCTTTGAAAGTCTATAGTTTTATAAGATACCTCATAATATTCAACTAATAGATCTAATATTTCAATAGATACCTCCAAATTTGATTTTTTTAAATATAAGAGTTTATCTGGAAAATATTCAGATCCATTAATTATTGTTTTATAAATATTATATGTAGTGTTTAAAAATTGATATAACTCATCAGCTGAAAACTAATCTAATTCAAAAATTGAACTTCTTTTGATTTTAATTCTATTGAGTATAATTTTGCTTTTAATTTAATTCATTAATAAGTTAACTATTCTTTTTTGATTATATTATAGATTCTCACACCTTCATTCTAGAGTTGTTTTAATCATACATCTTGTCTTTTTGACTTTCAACCTTTAATATATAAATTTTAATTCTTTCATTATATTTTAAATATTTTTTAAAGTCTTCTAGAGCCTATTAAAAATATCATATTAAATGCAGATACAGTATTTTCAATATGATGGTTATATTTATAAATAGTATTATATTTTTTTATAGCCAAGCTAAGAATTTGTAATTGGACTATATATTTTAATATTTTTATCTTGTTAAAAAGTTCTTTTAGTCATAAGGCTTTTTTATATTCTTTATTTGAAGTTATATTTTTAGTTGCAAGTTTGTTAAAAATTATTTTGTATAGTAGTTTTTTAAAAGTTTTCCAAAATCTATTCACTTGAATTTCTCTTTCCTCTTGATTAGATTATTTTTATAACAAGTATTTGAGTATTGTTCTAAACTTATGATCTAGACTTTCTTGATATGCTTACTATTGTAAAAGAGATAATTCCTTTATATCTATTTATTTTTGAGTATTTGAGAAATTTTATTGACTTCATTTCTTGTAAATATATTTTTATTATAAAGCATAATTACAAGTATGAGTAGTCACTTCCTGTAATATTTTTTATCTTTATTGTCAAATCAAAATAAGAAGCAGCTTGCTAGATTATATAATATTCAAATATAATCTATTTTATTACTACTTGTTGAATTTTATCTTGTGAAAGTTTTGTTTCTATCTTTCCATATAACTTGTATATCTATAAATTTTCATTTATCCAGAAAATTGAACAAAGGAATTTCTGGATATCATAATAGTTTAAACATAGTTTTGAAGAAAGATTGTCTATTTTTTGATAAATTTTAAA